GGGGGTTCTTGTTCTTCGGTGATGGTTTCTTCCTTTTTTTTTTCTCCCTCTCTATTTGGGAGTGGGTAACACACTCAGATAGGGAAGTAATCAGGGATGGTTTTTGTGGGTTGGCTCTGTAAAACAGGCTCAATCAAGACCCAACCATCTCCAGCCCATCTCCAACTCGAGGAAACCCCTCTGCTCTTTTTTTATTCTTCTCTGGATAAAAAAAGAACACAGACAGGAGCTTTGAGCTTGAGTTCTCAGTTCTCTTCACCTTGTCCTCATACATTTGCTATCGGATAATTTTTTTCGTCTACTATTGTAAAAAATAAGAACATCAATGAAATTTACGCTTTATAAAACAAATAAGTCGATTCATTAAAGCCATTTTCTAAATTTAATTAGGTTATTAAATTCATCAAGGATAATAAAAGATATTATATTACACTTACTGTTTTTTTTTTAGTTCAATTCACTCACTTTTGGGTATTCGATTGGGATATGTAAAGATATTTTTTTTCGTGGGATGAACTGACATTCAATCTGAAAGTGATGATAAATATTGAAGGTGTGGTTTTATTCGTGTCAGTTCCACTTGGGGAAATTCCTCTAGACTATAACCGGGGTGTGGCGTCCGATTTCACGTCGCAACGGAGAGATTTTGATGGATCGAAAGCCGCGAATATTGACTGGAAATATTAGTGATATTAAAAAGTCGAATGACGGTTCCCAGAGAAGATTAAAATCCACTCTTTCTCCATCGATTTTATCTACTTGGTTTTTTTATAAAAAATTCCGTAGAATTTTCGGTAATAATAAATTGGTATTTCAATATTCATTAACTCGTCTCAATGACTTTTCGAAATGTCCAATTTTTTTCACCGGCGAGGATACCGAAGAATCATTAACTAGTCCCTCGAAATAAAAACCCTCCGGAATTCGCGATGACATGCGAAAAATATCTTCAACGATCGGTCAATGACTGGTCAATCGCTTTTCAATTTATTGACCCGACGGAATAACCGGAGAAACGATGAAATTGGAGAATCTCTAGGAAAATCCCCGGCGGTCACAATCAATCGATCAGCGAATAATAAACAGAAAAGATAAAATTAGCTAGCCCATCGGTCCAGCTCTCTCGAACCCCTGGGGCACTCCAGAGCCCTTCGAAAGACCGAGTGCCAGGTTAATTGGTACGGAGTGCTCTTTAATTAGCGCATCATGGTCATAAACCTTGATTATTCCTCTCCCACCCTTATTCCATAACGAGCCGCGTTATCCACATCTTGGTGAACACAAATGGATAAAGATCCTACAATAAACCAAACAGACCATCACTTCACGCATTTCGATACCCTATTTTAATTATCATCGCAGTGAGGAAGTCATTCAAGAGGATGAATTAATAGAAGAAAAGTACTGAAATTGAATTTCCAAAAACTATTACTGAGAGATACTAAAATCAAGAATGTGTCGAGATTTCGCCCTCGACCAAAAAAAAATAAAAGGAAAAATGCAGGGAAATGGTGGATGGAGTTGTGATTCCAGAGGAAGTGGTAACGCCCAGGACTAGTCAGCCCTCGGTAGCTGCTCACGTGATTTTGGTGTGTCTAACTGAGAAAAAAGGGGAAATTATAAAAACTCGGAAGGATCGACCCTTTCCTGATCATTTAAAACTCGAGATTTCAACAATTTGCGGGTATAAAGAGAAAAAAAATAGGATTGCAATGGTCATTGACGGGAGCCTGATAAATACTCATTGGCAAATATCCCCCGGAAATTAGAGGTGGCCAGACCCTTCAAATCGACTTTTTCCAGAATGAAACCAACAATTCCAACTCCAATCTCGTGTCGTTGGACATCCAGAGCTGTAACACCACCGAAACAAGTATAAAACTACAGAAAAAGGCCAGAGGCGTAAATTGTTAAAGGCGAAGCCTCGACTAGTTATAAATTAGAAAGAAGGCAATCTTGCTACCTCGGCTGTTTTCGCGCATTTCTCCCTCCCTGTGCCCTTTTTTTTTCCTCGTGCTTACTCTATATAAGGGAGAAAGTAAAGAGAGGAAGAGGGATACTATCAACCAAACCTCGGGTTCGTCTTTACAGCCCTCAACTCGGTGGGGCCGATATGTCCAGGGTGGGGAAGAAAGAGAGACGGTTTAGGACTCTCAGCCATAAAAAAAACGTCTAACAGCCATGGCAAGATTACCAAGAAAACGTACGTTTGCCGGGGAAGAGGGGAACACCATATCTTGGCTGGAATAGCCCTCGTTTTACTCTGACTCACTGGGGGGTTATGGAGGTTTTTTTTTTCTTTTTTTTTCCACGCGAGAGGATCAATTGGATGAGAACGTAATTAAGGCTGTGGAATATCTCTTCATTTTATGAAACGCGTTAAATTTTCCGATTTATTTTTCTATGAAGAGAAAGCAAGCATTCTATTTGACACCTCGCCAATCGATTAATTTCTAAATACTTCATTCATTTATTTATATTTGTTTATAACGTAGGAAAACGTTAAAAATTACGAGGGGAATAATTTTTAATGGGTGATTACCCCAGCGGATTTTTTAATGAGAACCAGCGGTTTGACCGGTTATTTTGCTCAGACTATCCCCTTCGTCTTGATTTCCCCGGACTTGTAAAAAAAAGGTCTAAATTAAGAGAATTTTCCCGGAGGAGCTGGAGAGGTTGAAAAATTCAACGTAAAAGTGTACGAGAAAATAGGAGAGTGTGAGACAACTTAAACAGCACCTGGCAAAGTACCTCTGGGTAAGTAGTGGCAAGTAATAATTGAGTCAGACTCGGTACAGTCCTTTTCCTAACTCGTCTGAGTCAGTCAGTAAGGTAGGATAGTGAGAAAAGTGTGTGTGTGAGAGAGAGAGAGTGGGTTTAGGAGTTTTACCTTGGAAATTTTTGGTGTGAGTTGAATTTCTAAGTGGAACAACTGGGGAAAACCGGTAGATACGTGCTTGCGTATATAACTGACTATTTCTTGTGTTTCTGCATCCACGGCGAGTGCCAACTGGCCCTTAACTTCCGTGAGAATTGCCAACAGATGACGTGAATCAGGGATAAGCAAAAAAAAAATATAGGAAATTGTGATAAATCGTCCAGTCCACCAGAAAAATTATTGATAAACATCCAAAAGGCCATTAATATTATATTAACACCGGGTGATTAGTTTAAAATGAAATTTTCCGAGCACCCCCTCTGCTTTCGTTCTTACCCCCCACTATCCGCGGGATATTTCCACTTCCGGTTATTTTTCAAAGAGAATTTCTCCTCTGGTAGCGTGAGAAATAAGGGCTGGGGATAAACCGAGGGTCGTGTGTGTTATTGCAACGTGGGACGTAACTCCTCGTCAATAATTTAAGCCTAAGAACCTGAGTGATTTACTGGGACGTGTCTTGCAGTGGATATTTGGAATTCAGTCGATCTATCTTTACCGACCCCTGGCCGTCTTTTTTTTTTCAAAGCGAGCTCGAGGGTTTTTGAATTTTTCAGTTTTTTAAGAACCCTCCATTACCCTGAATCACCCTCATACCCATCAGTCGTGAATCTTGAAATTAATTATTTTCCATTGATCAGTGCCCAACAAATCGACACAAATGGAGACGAACAGATCTAATTAATTTGACGACAAAGACCCATTCCCCTGGCCTCTCAAAATTTAATCAATGCGGGATAGTCAATGAGTGACGAGAGAGAGAGAGAGAGAGGGGGGCTAGTGCCTGGAAAACAAAAGGCCTAACTTGATAAGAACGTCAGAGTCGTGTCAGAAACTCTCGCCTTGAGACGTCTCCAGACTGCTCTTCTCGTGTTCTCCCATCCCCTCATCCACCAGAAGGTAACTCAACTTTGTCCAACTGTCCAACTGTCCAAGAGTCCATTCCCCTCCCATCCCCCAAACTACCACTCCAGCTTTCTCTCACCCATCTCTCGAATAATATCATTCCCAACTCCAGCAAAAAAAAAATTAATGAGATTTTGTCTCTCTCGTTTTAGATTCTATTTTATTCCGCTCGAGTTTTATTTTATGAGCGAAGGAGTGATCAATTTTGGTTGTGAAATATAATTGGGATACATCGGGATCACTGTCGGGGGCCAGTATTGACAGTGAAGAAATGGCTCCAAATACTATTTCCAACACTTGATTGGGCGATTTTATCATTTCGCTCACAATGGCTCACAATCGGATATCTCTGTGGTGACTCACCGAAAATAACCGCTCAATGTCTCAAAATATTCCGGGACGTTGCGCCAAGATTCTTGTCGATACACGAAGTCTCATTCTGCTCAATTCAGGGTACAGCTCATTGCTGAAAATTCATAAAATGGCGTGAGAATCGGAGGAAAAACGAAAAAAATGAGAGAATTCTCGTTAACGTCTTTCTCTCATTCTTTTTCTGTCATCTCTTTTCTTACCAATCACAGAACGACTCTTCGATGCAAACTGAAGGCGAGAAAGGGGGCTTGAGGGTGAGAGTAGAAAAGCCGTTGAATTTTCTAAAGAAGTGTGCGAGGATATAAAAAAAACATGTTAAAAAGAGCGGGAGAGATTGAGAAGGAGAGAAGCGCGTGAAGGTTTTCCAGGGGTACTCGAGAGTGTCGTCCCATTAAGAAAATGAAATTTGCAATTCAGATGGCGTGAAAGGCTTTTTCTTGCCTCTTTCCCGCCTTTTTTTTCACTCGATCGTTTATACCGGTTATACCATTCACGAATGACGATGGTTGGGGAGAAAAAGGAATCAGTAAACATGTAATGCAGGGATTTTGAGAATTTCATCTTTTCTTTCTTTGTCAAATATTTAGCGGAGAGTCTTCAGGATCGTAAAGATAAAAAAAAATCACATCGCACTTTAATTTCGCAAATTTTCAACCAGGATCAGAGATATTAAACAATAAACTAGTTGAATACACTTTGTAAATTGTAGAACGTCATTTTTTATTGAGTTTCAATTTTTTTTTTCAATTCTAGGAAGAGAAATTACAAAAAAAATATAACTCATAAATTAATTGAGGTCGGGGAGTCCATCTAGGGTGAAGGATTTGGGGAGGTGATTTCCGGGGGAGTCCATGCTGCGGGATTCGAAGGACAGGAAGTCAGGGTCCGTGAGAGTGTTTGCCTGGAGGAGAGCAATGGAAATAATGGGGAAAAAATTGATGAAGAGTCATTTTCACAGACACTTAACGGTGAAAAATAATACTGGTATTATCTTTACTTGAAGCAGTAATTGATCCGAGATTCTGTCCACATTCCGGCCCTCATCGGCCTCTGGGATAATAGGGAGGGATCGGGAGCTCGAGGGAATTGGTTTTAGGATGCCCTTGAAGAAATCCAAAAAAAAAAAATATATATTCACTTTCAGATCTTTATAATTCAATCAACTCAGTCAATATCTCTCCAGAAAAATCTTAAAAATTACTTTCTTCATACAATTTTTAACATTCAAAGTAAACAAATAACAGATGAACAATAAAATAATCTTGAAACAAGAACGATCGAATTGAACCAATAAATTACCAATTAAATCGAGTGAGACAGGCATAGGTGAAGTCATTGTCCTCCCGATCAAAATACCCATTACCCCAAAATCCCTTAAATACCTCGGATTTGTCGTCCTTCTCCTGATCCTCACACATCCTCTTTCCAAAAACTCTAGATCCACTCTGATAATTTCCATCGATATCTCCATTATACGAGCAATAACCGCCCCTCAATCCCTGATCGTAAGTATTAAATATCTTGATCTCGTGATACTGCGATGCAGCCTCGAACTCCTGATACTTTGGCCCAAGTGCTTTTGTCTCAGCGAAACTTGGCAATGACCCAGTCTCGAGCTTTGTCGAGCTATGGTGACCCAGTGGCCTCATTTCCGGGGTCATTGGGCGCAAGTTTGACTGAACGTCATCCATGACATCGTCAAACTCCTGGAGCCTCATTCTACCCTCTTCTAGGTAATTACTGTCAACACCAAGAATACTGAAGTCCTCGGGAGGTAGTCTGGGTGCCTTGAGAAAGGCAAAACTATCCTGGGGGGGATAGGGGGGTGGATGGGAGGGAAAGGAGAGATCTGGCTGGTGATGGAGAAGACTCGAAAAGTCGTGGGGTACCATCACTGAGGACGATCCAATCAATCATTAAGTCAGCACAAAAAAAAATAATGTCTTGAGATAGATTCAAGGCGAAAATAATGAATTTTCAACTCACAGTCATCTTCACTGGGCAGTGGTATACCTTCAAATCCTCTCTGACCCATGATAAAATCATCGATCTTGGACTGACCGAAGAATCCCATTGCACTGGGATCCAGTATCTCAATTGAGTCCAATGATTTCTGATTCGCTCCAGCGTCCAGCACCATTATTTGATTGTCCTGATCACCAATAATGATGTCATCTGTTGTGGAACGTGTATTGGCCTGCATGACGCTTATCGCCTCAGCCTCAGGACCCTCAAGTATCGTCACATCATGGGAATTCTGCGCCATGAGATCACGTGCCTCACTGTTGCTCATTACCTCGTATCTGCCGTCCTCGGTTGCACGAACAAATTGAATGCCACCCTGGGCTGCCAATTCCATGAGTTCACTGCAATCTTCCAGGGATGGACTTGTGCTGGAGATGCTGGAGGGCTCTGGGATGAAGGGAATTGGCTTATCAACTTCTTCATCCATCTTTGGTACCAAAAAATTCTCCACTGCAACAGGATAAAGGGATTTTTTCATTTATTTTATCATTGACAAATTCCATCTATTTCCAGGTGCATTACCATGATCTTCATCTGGATCTGGTGGCTCAACAGAAAAACTGAACTTGCCATCGATTCCTGGAGTTTGGGTTACAGTGGCAACAACAGATATCTTCATCTGTCCCTTTTCACCCTCGCAACTACCCTCGGGCGAGCTCATAGTACCATTGACTCTCAAATCCTCGGGAGTGGCTGGAGTCAGCATCTGTCCAAGTAATCTCATTAAAACAAATTCTTATCACCAGGATTTGTTGTTACGTTTTTCTTTCTACTTCTTCATGGGCTTTTCTCTTCTATTTTTCTCTCGGTTTTTGGCATAGAAAAGCTTGAGATTCCAATGAAAACGATCTCGTTTGATCCCCGGGCTCGAAAAAATGAATGAAAAAAGAATTTTTGATGTCTCAAGGAGTTACAGAGACCTCTCCTCTTACCTAATTGAATTGTAAATTTTCTCGAGGTTTCCAATGGTGTCTGAAGCTATTTTTTTTGTGAACCCAAGTTTTTTTTTGAGGGGTATAAATAATTCTTACGTGCTTTTCTCCTGCATCGGTGACCTTGACGAGAACAGGTATTCCTCTGATGGGTTTAAAAAGTGCAAAGGGCACTTGATTTCTCATAACAGCTGTTGTCATTGCCTTGGTTATTATTTTATCAACGTAAAATGTCTCGATTTTCTGTGTGTCACGATTCTCCTTATCCTCGGTATCCATTGAATCCTCACTGGATAATTCAATGATCCGGAGATTTTGTTTAACTCTATTCCTCTCGCTTCCATTCTGTGACACCGAAGAATTGCGATATTTGATTCCATGCTTGGTTTCCTCGTGTGAACGCAGGGAAAATCTACGGGGAAACTCTTTTCCACAGATACCACACGAGTACTGCATTCTCTCTGTGTGAGCGTGTGCCTTTACTTTGTGACACACGAGATTGGACATTTGATTGAAGCCCTTTCCACACGTTTCGCACTTGTATGGACGTTCATTCGTGTGTGTAAATACGTGGTTACGGAGATTCCCTGGATTGTTATAAGGGAAAGGGAAGGGACTAGGATTAAATGATTGGATTATGTGATTTGGACTTCTGTTTTTGTGAGATTAATGCACTGATATCATGGTAATTATTGGACTTAGGAATAAATATATATATAAATATAATTAACATTGATATTTTCTCCTCAAATGACTCATTGAAGAGATAATTGTAGAATTACCAAAAAATTTCGTGAGGTAATATTTTTTTTATAATTTCTTGCTCGTTGGACGCAGAAGAAAAATAAAATTTCTGTACCTTTCTGATGAAATCCCTTCCCACAGACGGGACACTTGTGTGGTTTATTCTCGGAGTGAGTTTTCCGGTGTGAGATCAAAGTTGAAACCCTAGGAGGAAAAAAAAATTTTAAAAAGGGGGGAAAAATGAGTAAAAAGAAGTGATTGTTTCTGGACGAATGGTACTAGGTTTTCCCAAGCACTCATACACCCCATTCACTCATAATTGTTGAAAATACAGAAACCTGTTGAAAGTTTTTTTGCAGTATTCACAAACGTAGGGCCTAGCATCACTGTGAATGGCTTTGTGTTGACTGAGGGTTGAAAGTTGTCGGAATGCTTTGCCACAGGCGTCACACTTGAAATTTCTCTCGTCAGTGTGGGTTGGCAAGTGCCTCATCAAGGTGTATTGATGTCTGAATTCCTTAGAACCTATTGAATTATTAAATTATCATTTGAATCCAAGATGGAGAGAAATGAATGAATCAAATTCAACTGGTGAATTTAATTGAGGGAATTGTTTGTAAATACAACATACAAATTCCACACTCCCATATTTTAATCGTTTTTCCCTCTCTCTTCAGGTACTTGACGAAGTGAAGCCTCGACCTGGGATCATCTTTGTCTATGATTTGAGGAATTGCCGAGTTTTCTCCATTTGTCTGAGAATAGGGAGTATCACTCAAGGACTTTAGTTTCTTCTCCTCTACCTATTGTATTTTGACATAAAGCAGATGAGGATGTTAAGCAGAATGAAGTAGCTCAGAATTTCCTGTAAAACACCAGTGGCAATCTTCCTTTGTTCCTCTATTTCTCTATTATTCAATTCTCAACAAATTTTTTTATCATCATCGTCTTATTGAGTAGATATCTCTGGAACTAGTGGGTTCAAAAGAAAACATGTCAGGAATTATTTACAGAATATTACATTTTCTTGTAAATCCACACATCGAGATAATTAACAAAATAAGCAGATGAATGCACGGATTTCTATTGAACTGACAGCGATGCCCTGAAAGTTGAGAATCTCTCACTAATTATTAGGTTATGAGAAAATGGTATTGGCCATTATTCGTAGGTGGGCCTAGTAATTTTGGAGGTAAGATCCATTTAATGGGCTCGTTTATTAAATTTCTCGTCACCTTGCTCTTCTTTTTATTTCCTTGGGAATCAATCGAGTCCTTGACAAACACCTTAGAAGTATTTCCGTCGCCATCAACCACTTCCCCATCGATGTCATCCTCTGAGATGCCAATACCACCCTTTCAATGTAATTCGCCAATTAATTTACGATAGAAATTAACAACTAGAGTGAGTGAAAACGAATTAATTACGTTGATGAGAAGGTGATCATTATCCAAGCTACCCGGCACCAGAGACAATCCACACTTTCCATCTTGTGATTCGGAGTCCTCTTTAACGTAAACTTCGTAAATGCTGAATAATTAAAAGTCGTCAGGAGTAATTAACTTGGCAAATTCAGTGGAAATCGATGGGGGATATGAGGGACAAATATCTCTCAAGCTATTGAATTCCGAGGAAAAAGCAATTGATCTTTTTTGCAGGATATCTCAATATCTTCAAAAAGTGTCTCTGAAGTTTTTCTCTCAGTTCACTGATTACTGAGATAAGTGCCCAATTAAACACATAAATGGGGGAAATAAATAATTACCTGATCACCTCATCAGGAATCGTGCGATTCACCTCTTGCCCGTCCTCAAACTGATCATCCCCTGGGGAAAAAAAAATCACAGAGACCTCGAAAAAAAAGTCTCAACACCAAAGCACTTTCAACACTTGTTGGTTGATCCCCCACCCCGGCAACTTCAAAGGGCTCAGGATAACCTAATAGTAATCTTAGAGTGCATAATCCGAGGATCCAATGAAAAACTTTTTTATTACTCTCCACTTTCTTTTCTGCGGTGCGTTAAAGCCCCGAGAGTCTTCCCAACTTCATGAACGCGTTGTCTATTTATTTTTATCACCCTCGTGTCTGATAATTTCTTTCATCCACAGCAATAAAAAAAAATTAACAAAAAAAAAAGCCTGGTCTTTCTCATTAGAATCGAGATATTTAACTTCGCGTTTTTTTAAATCCCCCTGGGCTCTACGAAACAAAATATTTTCATATTTCATTTATTATATTACGAAATGATATAAACAAATCAACGAGGATTACCCAGCCCTCGTTTTTTCCGGGGATAAATGACAAATAAAGGAAAGACGCCATTATCTGTCTTCATTTTGTCAGTGATGAACCGGCATCTTGTTCTGACATTTCATTTTTTTTTTCCCCTCCGGGAATTTTTCCGTCAATTGAGGCGTGACAATTGTTTAGTGAGAGAGAGAGGTGCTGAGAGGTAATTAAAGGATTAATTGTGCAACTTACAGGTGTAGCTCTGGGGCAGATTAATTTGGGACATTTCCTTGAGATTAATTCGAGTTAGCGGAACGTCGGTGAATGGGACATTGAGATGGTTTTCATTGGCGTACGACAACAGCGCCATTACATTAAAAAACGGAACATCTCGAAAGTAATCGAGCAGGGGGGGGATCGAGGGGATTTAAAAGTCGATTGGCAGCGCATCGAGATTTTTATTCGTTTAAAAAATTCCGACCCTGAATAACGTGTATTTAATTTTTCATACTAATTATTTATCGGATTATTTTTGGAAATCGAATGAAAATAAAATTTTTCCTGATTTTATTTATCAGATTTTTTTTCCTACTCGTAAAAAATAATTTTAATATATGAATTATAATTTAGTCATGGGGAAGTGATGAATAAATATTCAGTTATTGTAGTGAAAAAAATGAATGTTTTTCTAAGAATATTCTGATGGAACGAGAGCGTTGCATAACCCGGTAGAGACAGAAAAAAATAATATAAAAGTCCCGCAACCCCAAAAATAGGGTAAAAAAGTGAAAATGAAAAGGGAATAAGCGAGTGAGTCTTCCCCCTCCCGACAATTTTTTTTTTTTGTCCCTCCACCACTGAAACCTCCACTCTTGCCTTCCTATTTTGTCACAGGAGCAAAAAGACCGGAAGAGAAGGGGGAAAATAGAGAAAAAATCGTAAAAATGAAGGGTGAAGGGGGAAAAAAAATGTGAGGCAAAGAGGGGGAGGTAGATAGAGCCAACCTTTCATAACCTCGATCATCGTAGTTTGAAGATTTGCCGGGGCAAAACTCTCGACAGTATGAGAGTGGAGAGCCTGAGAATGGGAGGAAATGAAAGAGCTACCAGCTAGAACAAACATTCACCCCTTTTCATACTTGTATTCTCCCTGTCCACCCTCCCTCTTCACATCCCCTCATTCCTGTTCTTCTATCTGCCACCTTTCCTCTCATTCTGTGTTCTATCTCATGGCCATTTCCACGTTTTCACACCGGTGATCTTTAGAAATGAGTTGAATCATAAGATTTTTTTTTCACTCTCGACGGATTTATTCGGGGGTTTAAGTTCATTAGATAATTTCAATGTATGGGTTTGGAAAATTTATTGGAAATGTACGCCACGAATAAGTTTTCTCATTTTCTAAACACCGAATTTCGGGGCTTCCCCTAATTCGCTCACTGTTGCTCACAGTCGCTCACAACCACTCACAATGGAATACCTTTATGAATTTTCATGCAAGAGGAGTGCTCGAGGTTTCAAAATATTCAGTAACATTGCGCCGAGATTTCTATCCAAAGCAGATATCTCTAAATAATTTCGGTAGTAAATCCTGAATTATTATCTGAACCTGTAATACCTTTGTCGAGTATAACTCACAATAGGTAACGAAAAATCGACCAGAGTGGATCAAATTGAGTCGTCGAGGTTCAGTGAACAAGTGAAAGGTAATTTTTGACACACGTTAGGTAACATTGTCCATTCCTCCACCACCCCTTGGTTTTTTTGATTCACCTTTGGTAGTCCCTCAGTGCCACTACGTGACTAGAAAAGTCTCAAGGCGTTATTGATTATGGGCAATCGGAAAAACGACTACAACTGTACGTACAGAGCGGTAAAATAGGGGGATGGGGATTTAGAGGGAGAAGGTTTAAGGGTGCCTGGTGTACATGACCTCCGGTCCATCGATAAAAATGATGATCATAGGTAGGTTATGGAAGGTTCGGCCATTTATACAACATATACTCCGCCTCTAAAAAGGATGACCTTGATTTGTGCTTGTCCAGGTTTAACGTTATCGCACGAATTTCTGGATAATTCACTGCATTCTGGCTATTTTGCAATAATCTCCGGTGATTTTCATTGTTTCATCATGACATTATCAATTGTTGATAAATGTCGTGAGTGGTGTAGAATTTTGCGGGACGTTTCACTGTCGAAGTTTATAACCACCAGTGAATGAATATTATGGCCAGTGTGTATATCACGAATGTCCAACCATATCAATCACATCAGAAGCCGACCTGGGGAGTGATACCACAATGGGGAGAACGTGTATCCGTGGGATTACTACCGAGGGAGAATGAATTCAAGTGGACACAACGTATTTGTATACACGTATTAATAAATTTCATCCATTTCCGTTAGACACGAAGAATTTGTCAACGCTTGGAAAAAAAAAATTGCGTCAAACTTTTGGTGATGATACAGCCCTCCAAGAAATTTCCCACCGAAATTGAATTATTCACTAATAATAATTAATTGAAATTCATTCATTCAATCGAAGGCATCAGATAAATTTTCAATTGTGCGAAAATTGAGAAAAGGACAAGCGCTCTTCACCGAATAACTTGAAAAATCGATGCTGTCTCATGGGAGGGGGTGAAAAGGGGTTGGCAAGGGGTTAGGGAGGGGTTAGAAAAGGGGTGGGTACAGAAGGTGTACAAGGGGGAGTGATTCCCCTGTCCCCCGAAAAGGGGTAAAGGCCCACATTGAATAGGGAGAAAGAACGTGAGCTTCTCCCCAAGTATAGGGTAGTCCTTGGTCTGGCAGGTACATTCCTCAAGAGGAAGACAGAAAAAAAAAGGGAAATAGAAGGGGATGTGGAAGGTGGTTGCCGTTGCCACAGGGAAAGGTGGGCCACGGGGAAAAATTTCAAATGCAGCACACGTAGACGCTAAAACGCCCCCATGATTCAATTCACATCAGCCCAACTTCCTCTTTCCACTCCCCCCTCACCTCTTTTTTTTTAGTTGTCCTTTCTTTTTTACTCTTTGAGTCTAGTTGTGTGCGGCCTTCTTCTCCCTCATCTTTCGCTTCTTGAAGACGTTTTCCTTGTGCGTCAGTATGATTTTCTTTTCGTATTTTTTTTTTGTCTGAATCAAACGCACCAGAAGTTGGCGGAGGAAATATTTTTTCTTTCAATTGACACGACGAAAGGACGAAAAATTGAAAGGGCGTCGCGTTTTTTTTATTAGCACTTAGTTTCCGATTTTTGCGGTAATTGCAGTGGGAAATTTTCATGAAAAAAATGGGGTGATGAATCAAGTGAGGATTGAGAGGAAGAAAATCGATAAATATCGTGTTGAATTTATAAAATCATTGCAAGTTCGAGGGTCGTTGGTACGTAAAACGAATGTACGAAAATAAAAATGCTGAGAAAAAGAGTGAGACCAGACGACCGGGTAAAAACACGATTATTTAGATTTATTCAGAAGGGACTTTGGTGCGATATTTTCCAGTGGTACGAGAAGTGGTTAATACCGACAAGGCCCCTGGCATCCATCCTGACTACTTGATAGTCAGGCCTCATTCGTAACCGCCCCCCAGAAAAAAAAAACAGTGAAAACAAATTTTTACCATTTTTTCTCCAACAATAAAGAAAAATACTGAATCGATCATTTTTTGAAAATATAATTATTCCCTGGATATTGATGAAAGCTGAAAAATTTTCAGTTAATTTGTAAAATTTCCCGGAAACCTAATCTTTCTTCCTAATTAGTAAATGAAAAATGATAATCTTTTCGCTGAAGATGGTAAATTATTCAAATGCTGATAACTCGGATAATCCAAACGTCGACAGCTGTTTCCCGAGCCTAGAGTTTCGAAATATTCAAAATGTGCTTCTCACCCGTTAAAATTTAATTTGACTTATTAAAGTTGCCATCTGGATTCGCCACCCCGCGCACCCAACCAAAAAGACGATAAAACGCCAAGAGATGTAGAGGATTTAAAGCCACAAGGCAGTTAGCTTCGTCAGTCGTAAAAACGTTACTTCCGTACATGAGTGAGAGTAAAAGATACAGAGAGGATGTAGAAGTGCGCAAGAAAGGACTTTGGTCAGCCGAACTTTGCCCCCGTCAGATGTTCAACTCCACAACTTGTAGAGTATGAGAATAATATATGACACAGAAGGAAATACGTTTATGAAAAAGAGAATATTTCTCAGAATAAATGGTACAAGAGATGAAGCGACATCACTTTATCCAGATAAAAGTAAAAAAGAGGGCGAAATTTTCTTCTTAAGGATTTGAGAAAGAAAAAAAAAAACTCACCCATCCTGACTATTTTAATTTTTCACGTTATTTTCTTGAGCAGTTGCTCGACTCATGCTTGAGCAGGCGACTCCCTGGACCATTTAATACCGATTGCACACCAGTTTACGGATTCAAGTTTCTCAGACTTGTCTCGACTCTCATCTTCCTCTGGCATCAGCCTCATTGCCATCCTTTTGTGTGCAAACAGACTCGTCGTCGTTAACGCCATTATTCTCACGCTTCTCTGGAGTACTAAGACGTTTTCATTCCACTTGGTTCTGTGAGTGGCCTGTTACTACTGTCGCTCCACAAACTGTGGCCTTTTACTCGATGAAACATTTCGAATATCCAAATTTTATAATCCACAACTTCTCAATCAACTCAATCAACTTTCAATCTTATTTAATGAATCAATTGCAATGGATTATGATTTTCAATGACTCCTCGTAATTAAATAATGCCAACTGAAGATAATACTTGAGCAGTGATGGTGTAAGTCTCAACGCGTGTTGAAATAATACGATGCAAAGTAGATGAACGGAGGGATGAGGAAGGTGGATACAGTTCGTAGCACTCGAAATTGGAAGCGATGGGCGAAACAGCCCAGGGAAATGAGCATTTTCCCGCATCTCGTCCGAATTTAATCAGCGATAAATTTTCTTTGTTTCCAACGCCCACCGCTCCCTCCTTTCCTTACTTTATTCATGGTGAAGCTAATCCCGAGCTTATCACTGAATTTTCCACCACGAAATATGAACAATCGCTTTATCCAATAATTTTTTTGATAATTTTTTCAATACGATTAATTGGAGTGATTTAATGGTGACGTGTTGGAATGGTGTAAGAGTTTATTGTGAATTTACCGGATATTATTCAGTCTTGAGAGGGCAGATTAGCCCTGGATTGGCAACTGGAAAGCAGTGAGATTATCTCCAAGACAATCCCCCTTTCTATCTCCCGGTGTCTTCTTCCTTTTGCCTCCCTCGGATAAAGAAGTATTTTACCATTATCATAATCTCATTCATAGCTATATTCAAAGTTTGACGATGAAATTTATCAGTTTTCCTCCATTGTGTTAAGTTCTTTTCAAATCTTATTCAAATCATCGTAAAACTCAATTATCCTCCTGACACGAGATTGCGATACTTTTTTTTTTATTATCATTATCAATTTTTTTTTCTCACCAATGGATCGGTGGGGGAAAATCAAATGGTTGATAGCAACATTTTTAGATGTCGATGTTTTGCACTTTTTAGTTGATTAATTAATTAATTATGTTTCGATTGTTGTAATGATTTTGAAATAATGAACTGTGAAAGGGAGGTGGAGAATTTTTAACCCCTTGGATTTACGATGGGGCAGTTTATTTCATGGGATCGGCTGATTGATTTTGATGGTGGTGGTAACTGTCATGGTCACTTGCCGGGTTTAATGTCCATCAATCGGTTTTCTCCCTGTAACTGCATTCACGCCTCTAAGAGTGCAGAGAACCGGTAATGGGCCACTTGGCAATCCAACCCAGCAATACGTAGACAATCACACAGACGTTTGTACGATAGTCCAACGAACCCTTAAGGATCCCGTAGCCCCAGGGTTGGTCGACCTATCGATACATCACACCTGGCTGCTCTCCAAAATTCTGGGGATTCGTGACCCCAGGGTCAAATACAAACATTCCACTCTCCGTGGTTAAACAAAAGACTTTTCATTTGCGCCAAATTCACCATTCGCCATTTTTTTCTCCGATTCTTCACTCTTATTTATTAAAAAAAATGAGATAAAAATAACTAACCGAAAAATTATCCCCCAAATTTTTTACCCTCAAATCAAATATTGTGCTATTGATTTTGAACTTCAAATTGACTCATCGATTTTTTTTTCAAGAAAAAAAAAAATTGCAAAAAAAAAGCAAAAAGGAAGTCCCCAATTTTTTTTTTATTCGTCTATCAATCTCTCGTTTCGTTTGAATGATAACGTCAAAAGCGACTGGGCAAATAATTGAAGGAAAAAAAATACATCCACTTCGATTTACGGATATAAAATACTGAATTTTGGAAACAACCCGTTGACCGGACGTTTCATATCCTTTGGCGATGCACGCATTATATTGAAGCGTACATGGGGAATACTGTGGAGAGTGCTAAACCCAACCCAACGACACAAATTCAATTCCCGTTGCACAGGGGGCCTTCGATGTCCGCGGGGGGTTTTCAACCCCACCTTCTCATTCCTACCCCCCCATCACAACCCCCAAAACTAATGTATTCACGGCCGTTCCGATGTCGTCACCGTGCAAATTCTGCGGACGCATAAATACAACGGTTTAATCTACCATCCGGTTAAAATGACGAGGCGAAATTCCATAAAAATTTATCTATTTAATCACCGGTATCCCCGAATTTCATCTAGTACAAACATTTCAGAGTTTATTCATCAGTAAATGATAATACGAATTGGAGTCACTGGCAGATTTGCTCGAGACCAAGTGATACAAGTGCAAAACGTATCAGCCCTCAAAAGGAGGGAAGGAAAAGGGATACCAGAGTATAAGGTTAAGTGAAAAGTTTGGGGCACACTTGGAGAGATAGAACTGGCCAGTGGATCCAGTGGGTGCTACCTGACACTTTAGGGCCGTTAAGAGGAACTACCCCACCCTATCCACAAGAGTATCCCGCCCACTGCCATTAATACAAGACAGAGGGTGAGCCTTACCGATATATCATCAATGGCTTTTGTTTGTATGAGCCACTCGACAGCCCACACCCTCTGAATAACACTCAGAAAATTGTGCAATAATAAAAATGGATTTATCATCCCAACTGACTGATTAAAATTTATCAACGCACTACTATTCAATCGATTTTCCTGACGTCATTGCAAAAAAATGAGAAAAATAATAGCTGGATTATATATTTTTAATGGAAAAAAAAACTCTCGGAATGTTAATTTAATTTTATTAAGCTGATTCAACATTCAACATGCAAATGCGATACTTGGAAACACGAAATCTGCCGGATTGTTCTCTTTACACGGACGCATGTTTGATACACACATTGCTCCGATATAATACAATTTGATCAAACGTATAGGCTGCGAGTGGGTGGGAGGGTGGTGGGGGGCAATGAGAACATAGGCTATGGGGTACTTGGAGGGGCTTATCCTCACCGCAGTGTATGCATGCTTGGTGGTACGATTATTGTGACGATTTCATTTGGCATTATCCCACTCGCGATGACTACCTCCCACCCCTCGCGGTAAATTTCCCCTTCCATTCCCTTCCCCTCTTTTCCCAAATGAAGCCCTTTACCTGGCTTTCCGACTCTCATTTGGTGATCCCCATAGGGGGACATATAAAACATCCGATTAATCGAAATTGCAAATGTCCGTGAGCGAATTTACGTATTATAGTATTGGAATTGTTTTAAATAATTGTTCGGGCGGTGATGTCGTCAGATAATTTTTTAACATATCAAGAGAAGGATAATTGCGATATGGAATTGAAATTTTTTTTTTTAATTATTGATGAAAAAATAGAGGAGATTTTGAGAAGTGGATTAGATTTTTTTTCTGCCTTTCAGTTTTGACTAGCCCTTGGCATTTTTTTTTATTCGCGTTTTTTGAGGAGATTAATTATGTTTGTATTGTAATAACAGTAGGTACAATGTCAGGTGAGTATTTCCCTCTTCTCCCCTCCCCGACAAAAACATATTACACTGCATAAACAAACAGAGGGGGTGGTGAGGGGGGATAATTTGCACTTCATACACAGAGTCGCATAGACACAAAACAGAGTTTTGGAGGTGGTGAGTGGGGATAGAATGAGGTTGTGGGGTAGAAGGATCTGTTTATTTGCACATATGGAGATTTGGGTAACGCATATTCGAATGGATATGGAAGGTAACGGAGAGTACGATGGAGCTTTCAGTATATATGGTAACACAAAACGCCCCCGGATCCCATTATTTATAGCCCGCTCGATACAGGTATGCCACGATTCGGCCAACTGGTACCTATGAAAATAGTGAGAAGTATTTCAAAATGTAGGGATGAGTAAGTTTGAATTTTTTTTTTTTTCATATTACGAGTTTTGGTAATGTTATATTAGTATTGATGATGCTCCGGGTAAAGGGGAGTTGAATTGAGTGAATAAAAGCCATTGGAATGGTAAAGAGGAATGTGAATGGGATGGGAATATCGATATGCGGGTAAAGTAAAACAGAATCGGAATGAAACAGGAAGCTCAGTACTCTCTTACCGGCTTTGACGCTCGGACGATCAAAGCTTTCTACGTTTTGTAGGGAATTCAACTGGAGAGGGAGACAGAGGAGGGGGAGGAGGGGGGGGGGGCTTTATTTATTATAAAGACTAACCGATTGGCTTCTTCCCACCATTTCAATTGATCTTGGTCGATCTAATGTGTAGTGAGTATACATTACCCGATGGATTTACCATGTCAATATCAATTGTCCCTTGAGTCTCGTGTGATGAATGAAAATTTATACTTGAGTTTGAAAATCTCGAGATTCAAGTAACAACTGCCACAGCGGGTTATACTAATTTCGCTAGCGACTACCTAACGACCCCTTTGAGGTCATAACTTTTGCCGCAACCTCCGCATTTCTACTCAGTGTTTCTCCAAAGTCTCTTATGCTTATACTTCCCTCCCTTCCCTCTCGCCTTTGTTACTGTACAAGTTACCCTTGTGCTATCGTCTTCCTCTTCAACCCCTTCGTCCCCCACTTTGTTGTGGTGATTGTGCGCTTGCGCGAGGGGGTTGTACCCCAACGGGGATACCACTACGAGTGGGGAGACGAAAAACGTGTTCTCCGGATGGCAATTGTCGCTCCAGTGCGCGCCGCTCTTTCCTCGTTGACGGAACTGCTTCTTCGAGCAATCGCTAAACTATTCGCGCGAAATATTTTTTCAATCTTCACGGGCATTCTTTTTCTTTCTTTGATTTTTTCATCTTGTGAGTGAGATAGTGGGGTTTGCAGGCTATTTTCTTCTGTATTTTTTGAATTTTTTATTTATGTTTGGGGGGGTTTTTTTTTTTTAGTTTTTCTGGGAGAAATTTTCAGGGGGCGGTAGAGGAAAAAGGCTGGAAAATTTTTTGATGGAAAACAACTCGAATGTATCATTGATGCAAGCTATTTTTAATAGATTCATTTTTTTAATTTTTTTGTTTATTTCTATGAGTCTTTAATTTGGGGTTTTCATGGATTGATTTTCATTTGAATGAGGAAAATTTATAAACAATAATGAAAATAGCTTGAATAAATTGTCGTTGTTCTGGTTTTCCAGTGGAAAAGCCTCGAGCCAATCAAGGTCGCCACATAATTCCAGTGAAAAAAATAAATCTAAGTGATCCCCCGAAAAACTGTAAAAAGCCGAGTAAAAAATTCAAGAGACTCAATCCTATTTTCCCATTTTTTTCATCTAAAAAGTGGAGAGGAGTTTAAGTCAAGTTGCAAAGCCGAGTGAGAAAGAAGAAACCCAGAGAGAAGAGGTAGAAAATCTGAGAAGAGTTTTGGAAGAGAGAAAAAAAAAAAGAGTAACACTCGTAAAAGCCGATTCGATTCTCTGGCTTATCCTCCAACGAATAAAAAAAAAAAAAGAGGAGATTGGTTTGAGAGGACGGGATTTAGCTCGAGCGTCGAATGCCTTCAATTCGATCATCTGATAATCAATTAGGCTTAATTATCAATTAATCCGGAAAATTCTGGTTGAGAGTGGTATTGCTGTTGATGGGGGGGAGCAATTAAGAGATTATAAAGATCTACAAAAGCCCCTGGGGGGCTGAGGTTGGAGTAACTCATCCATGAGTTCGTTAGGGGTACCACCGGTCAACGGATGATTATGGAATCAACAACTTGGAGGCGCGGGACAATGTCCCTCAGATCGATCATCATTTGCTTTGGAATTTTTGCTGTTATAAATCGTAAGTAAAATTAATTTCTGTTGAATGAAACCGTATCCGCGAATTATATTTTTTAATTAAACGTCTTGTACGCAAATCTGAATGAGCTATCGACGTGAATGTTTGTTCTGCATTGATTATGACTGGAGTGATGCGTATGTCTGTCAGTCATTTCAGAGTAAATTGTTATGCACTGCAGTTGGAGCCCTCAATCACCCTGATTGACGCTGGCTATTCTCCCTCTCTCACTTGAGCACTAAAATTTCATACTCAAACATCGAATTCCATGTGCGTCCTCGGCCTCCCCTTTTTATTCCATGTACATCGCCCATTAAAGATAAGCTGGATTTCAACGGACCTTTTTACCACATTCTCAACACAATCCCGTAAAACTCGATGAATTTAATTATTTTCATTCATACCAGCAAATTTTTCGGTTGTAAAAAATAATTGGGATAAACAGAAAGTTTCTGCGGTTGGAATTATGCCAAATGCCAGTTATAATTAGAGGTAGATGAAATTTCTCGCTGGAGGGAAAGAAGTTGTTTTGTCGAGAAAGTTCAATGGCATTTTGGATTTAAATTCTCGGCTTTTTACGGTTCTTATTATTTCAATGATTCCAATGGATTTTTTAGCATGACAAATTATCTCAATTGAATTTGTAGAAATGGCAATGGAGTATCGGAAATTTTTTTAAGGAAAAATAATCAATAACCGAAAATGGAGATTCTCGTTGAGAAACCATGCGGTTGAGAGGAAAACTAGAATGTGTACGCGTACGGGTTTTAGCTTGGGCTTTTCATACCTAGGCTCCACTGGTGTTATACAGGGAGTAGAGAAGGGATGAAATTTTACTCGCTCGCCGACGCGGAAATCCACCGGGACGTGCCGTGGCTGCTGCGGTTAATAAAGCTTCGAAAGTCCCCTCCTTTTTCCCGCTCTCTTCAAACAAAAAGGCGGAAAAAAAGACACGACGGAGGAATGAGGGAGGAAGAAAAAAACATTTTTTTTTTTCACCCGGGTTATATGTATACATCTGTAGTATAAAGAAAAGGTTGAAGGGGTGGTGAAGGGGTTGCTCTACTTGCGCGTTAACCGTAAAATTATTATCTACCGCGAATGGGAGACTTTTACGCGTCGATTACTTTTTCTGCATCATCAGGAGTGATTTTAAGGAGCCGTAAAACCCGCGTTACTTTATTTATTTTTTTTTTTTTTTGTAGAACTTCATCGAAAAATATGCGGAATATTTTGAAAACATGATAGACCGTTTGGAGAATATCGGATTGTGAGCGATTCTCTGAGTTCATCAGCTTCTTTGAGTATTGGGATGCAACAAATTAATGAATTCTCCGGTTGAAGATGAGCAATAGAAGCTGGAAAGCGTTGAGTACAAAATATCAAGGGGAAAATAGTGAAGATTTTGAGCCGTCAGGTGTTCGTCTATCTCAAGTACTTCGAATGAAATTCGATTGTGAGCGATGCATACCTCTGCAGGGGAAATCTGTTTGACGTAATAAAACCGAATGAATCTGGGATATAATGTTGAATTATTATCATTACACTTGGCATTACGATCATAAGGTCCTCACGGTATGGGGTAACTCCTTTGTTCAATTGGTGAGAATAAGGATGAGAGAAGAGAAATAGAGAAACGGGTGTGAGTGTTACCAGGAGGCGGACCGGTTATCACGCGGGTGAGGATATGGGGGATAATAAGGAGTAAGGACAAGAGCGTCGGAAGTACGTGACCGGAATCGGGTGCGATGAAAGCTCGAATTACTTTGACAAACTTGGCTACCCTTGCCTCCTCCTTTCTCTCCTGCCTCCACCACCTCGAAGTAGTCTATAACCTACTCGGTATCACAAAGCTTTTCCCCTTTCAGGCCGTTACCGCTGTGGTAACTGCTACCTCTGATACGGCGAATCAATGCTCCCTTCTCGACTAACTCATTTTTTTTTTCCCCACCGATAACATCCAAAAGGAAAATAATTTATCATTAATGCCAGATACTCGTCACCATCAACTCCTCCAGACGATCTCACTTGTGATTCTCAGTTCTTCGCGGGATTGAGAAAAAAAAATATATTTTTTTTGTCAATCCCTTACATCTCTGCAATTGGTGGATTGAGGGGCAAAAAATAAGGGTAAAAATAGGGTAGATTGACAGAAAGAACATTTTAAACTATCGTATATGGATGTAAAGTTACTATCGGCGTCGAACAGACGCCGGGAGTTTTCGGGGTCCGTAGAAAAGAGGTCGAGTCTATGAGAAAGTGGAATGGGTCGAGAGACGCGCAGACAGGAAATCCGCCCCCTTCGAGCACTCGGGCCATCCCTGGGCTATTGTTTTCCAAGGGAAAACTTTTGGGGGGATGAATTCGACCTATACTTTTCAGAATCGGGAGGAAAACAACTCTACGATGAATTAATGAATCACCAAGGGGAATGAATGAATAAATACACACGATCGGGGCACAATTATTTCGTCATGAATAATTGTTGTTTTTACTTTGTTGTTCAACACTGAATTTCCAGCAAAACTATTGGAAATTAAAGGATGAGAACACCGAATTCGAAATCGTAATTATTATTATAAGAAATTTTTTTTTATTCCTGAGTACAAAGAGCAACTGCCTCATGCCCTGTCACTATTCAATTTTTCGTCATTAATTGCCAGAACAATTGAATTGTTTCTCCACCAAAAAAAAAATTGTTTGAATGAAAAAGACATAAAATACCAAAGGCTAGGTGACAATAACAGCCCGTACCTCGGTTATACCGGCGATAAAACTGTGTGTAGGTGCACCAGTGGAAAAAGATGAAATGAGCTGGCAGTAAAACTCTCACGGAAAAGCCCCACGATGCATATAAGTTCCCATTTGTTTCAATTTACGTTGCGTATACGCTTCAACGGTTTTCATCGCATTCCCCCCCCTCCCTCCCCCCTGCCCTTCCTCCCCCTGCTCTTCAGCTTTTCACTGCACAACGATTTCATACAGTATACTAATGGCTTCCTCGAATTCCAAATTTTTGTGAAATGAAATTCCCGAGATTTTTTTCCAGCGAACCAACAAAAAAAAAAAAATATAAAAAGTTGAGAATAGAGATATAGAAAAATTTTATTGAGCATCGTCAAATGGAATATTTATCCGCTCACCTTTTGAGAGTCTGAGGAAATTTTATTTAGCTCCATTACCTATCTCCCCGGTATCCGAAGAAACGTTGCTGACGTCGCTACCCCACTCTGACCAAGCAAAAGTTGCACATTTAGCACTTTTATCCATCCCCCCATCCACCCCTGCCACCACTTTCCTCTGGCATTTTCGACCGTTACACCCTTCAATGCGTCTGGCTACAGTCCATATGTACAGTATGAAGGTCTTGTCCTATATATTAAGGTACTAGACTACTTTTCCGAGGGATCGTATTAAACGATATTGAAGACGAAGGCAAACTTCTCTCACCAAAATCCAATAACCTTCCATCATCTCGAAGAAAGAAAAAAAAAAAGTAATCAATGGAAAAATTAGCCAATTACTCGAAGCTAATTGGGACAAGTTGAATTCACTCATGCAAAAATTCATATATCCACTCAGTCACAACTAAACTTGAAAACACGGTGTTAACTGTTTCAACCCTTGAACACCACCGCGAAAATGACAAAGCAAGGGAGACAACCCCGACGATTCCCCCTCTAAAACCATCCACGAAACAAAGAGGGTGGTGGCTGAAAAGGGGGTAAAGGTCGAAAGGACATTTATCTGGGCAGTTGGCACGGGCCAATAATGCCAGGAGTCGCCAAGCAAACGTCTCGCCAACTATTTCAACCCCTGTGTGCAACCCCCACCGATGGTTTGCCTAGGCGGGCCAGGTTTGCCACTAGGTACCACTACGGCCCTTATCTCGTTTCGGCTCTGGGGAAGCGCATTAGATCCACCGGGAGACCCGGACCATTTAGGGGGTGGATAAAGAGAGAGGTACAGCGGGGATGGTAGGGGTTGGAATAGTGCTTCACGACGAAAACTCGATATCCGCCCGAAACCGATATCGGTATGCATGATATTCCATAGAGAAGTCGAACCACCCTTCGTGCGTTTTTTCACCTTCGAGGTAACATCCGTTAAGTTTTTCAACATCGTCCTCTACAGTGGACTTTTAGATACCATTATCTTGATTTTATTTTTAGAATGCAGAATGAAGGATGACGTGAGACTGGCAGTATTTTGATGTGGGTGATTTTCTTCTTTGGCGGTGGGGTACACGCCTCGGGGGTTGAGAGAGAGGTGAAATTGCATCGAAGATATTGCAGCCAGAGTTCTGACAATTTTCAGAGTTCGAGGCAATGATTCGATCAGTTAGTTACCGAGATATTTGATTGTGAATGATTGCGAGTGGTTCATTTTTTTTTTCTTTCGAAAGGTATGAATATCGGTTACGTGAATTCGCACGGACAGATCTCTGAGATTTATCGTAACCCTATCCCACCAAAAACTACCGAAAAAACCTCAAAAATTCGTTGGAAATTTTAGCCTTTCGTATTCACCTCCATTCTTTTAATTCTTTTGTTTTATTCCTCTCGTCCATTCGTTTATTTTAATTTTCGCATTTCCCGGGATCCACCGCGGGGGGAGAATGGTGGTGGTACTCTGCTACAATTTTTAACGTTCCCCATGGTCAGCTGCCAGAAAGAGAAGTTCAACAGTATATATTTTTTTTTTCTACCCCTCTGAGCGTTATATTGGTAGCGATACATTTTAAAAGTCCACTGCCACCCTCCAGCTCTCCCCTTCATCCACCATCCTATTTTCACCTACATATACTTCTAGCCCCCACAGGGGTGGTACGTCTGCACCAGAGGAACCACCGGCGCCGCAACCATTCGGCAAACCCTGCATGCCACGTTCATCCCCCTCGACTTTTTTTTTTTTTCACCCCTTTCTTTATATTTTTTCCCTATTCACCGAATTTTATTCACTTTTTTTCTTCCACTCGGTCATTTTTTTTTCTATCTATTTCT